AACGGACGAATTTGGACTCTTCGAAAGCAAAAGAATGTAATTGGTAGAATAATTACAGCTAACCCATCTGAAGGTGAAAGGTATTATTTACGGCTTTTGTTAAACCACATTAAGGGATCAACTTCTTTTAAACACTTACGAAATGTGAATGGTACATTGACAGCTAGCTTTCGTGAGGCAGCTCTTTTACATGGTTTATTAAGTGCAGGTAATAATTGTGAACTATGTTTAGAAGAAGCGATTGTTTATCAAATGCCTTCTTCACTTCGTAGATTATTTGCTATTATATTAACGTTTTGTACTCCTAACAATCCACAATTGTTGTGGAATAAGTTTAAAGGTTCCATGTTTGAAGATTTTATACAACAAGGTATGTCATCTAATAATGCTCAAATAAAATCATTACAATGCATAAATTCCATATTGGAAACATTGAACAAAAACATAAATGATTACCAATTGGTACCATTCGATATAAGCATAGAAGAAGACGAAAGATTAGCTAGCATGATTTTTGAAGAATTGAAACTTAGTAGTAATCAAACTAACAACTTTGATACAAATTGCTTAAACAAAGAGCAACTATATGCTTATAATATAATTTTATCTCGAATTTCCAATGATGACAATGGCATGTTTTTTGTCGATGGACCTAGTGGAACAGGTAAAACATATTTATATAAAGCTTTGTTAGCAGCTGTACGATCAAAAAATCTCATTGCTATAGCTACAGCTTCTTCTAGAGTTGCTGCTTCCTTATTACCGGGTGGTAGAACTGCACATTCTAGATTTAAAATTCCTTCAGATATAAATGATGATATTGGTTGTTCAATAAGTAAACAGTCTGCATTAGCAGATCTTTTTAGAATGACTAAATTAATCATTTGGGATGAAGCACCAATGGTAAATCGTTATACTGTAGAAGCTTTAGATAAAATGTTAAGAGATGTAAATGAAACAAATATACTATTTGGGGGAAAAGTCATTGTATTAGGAGGTGATTTTCGACAAGTTTTACCAATTGTACAAAGAGGTACAAAAGAAAAAATAATAAAAGCAAGTTTAGTTTTTTCATATTTATGGCCTCCTTTTATTCGTTTACCATTGATACAAAATATGAGAGCTCAGTTGGATCCATTATTTTGTAATTATTTACTTCGTATTCGAAATGGTACAGAGAAAGAACATTCATGTAAGATGATAACACTTCCAACTGATATAACTGTAGAATTTCAAGATGAATTTCAATCTTTAAAAAATTTGATTAACGTAGTTTTCCCGAATATAACAAATTATAAAGAAAATCTAGATACTATGATTAATAGAGTTATTTTAACACCAAAAAATGAACACGTTGATCAAATAAATAATATTTTACTTAAAGAAATTCCCGGACAAATATTTACATATTATAGTTTTGATGAATCCATTGACAAATGTGAACAAAGTATCCAAGAAGATTTTTTAAATACATTAACTCCGAATGGTATTCCACCACATGAACTTACGTTAAAACAAAATTGTCCTGTTATATTACTTCGAAATATTAACCCATCTGAAGGTCTATGTAATGGAACAAGACTTATTTGTCGAAAATTTGAGAAAAATGTGATTGATGCTGAGATTACTATTGGAAAATATCGTGGAAAGCGAGTATTTTTACCCAAAATTCCATTTATACCACTTGAAAGAGACAAAACTTCAATTCCTTTTAAAAGAACTCAATTTCCCATTCGTCCATGTTTTGCAATGACAATAAATAAATCACAAGGTCAAACAATAGATTTCGTTGGTTTGTATCTACCGGAACCTATATATTCTCATGGCCAATTATATGTTGCTTTATCATTCGTCCATGTTTTGCAATGACAATAAATAAATCACAAGGTCAAACTTTTGATTTTGTTGGGCTTTATCTTCCAAAACATGTATTCTCTCATGGACAATTATACGTTGGTTTGTCTAGAGTGAAAACAAGTACATCAATTAAAGTTTTGATAAAGCCATCAGACAAGTTTATTATACATAATACATGCACAAAAAATATTGTTTACAAAGAAATTCTTGATTGGATAACATCTTCATAGATATTTTCGAAATGCTATTAATTATATGTTTTTAAAACTTTGTCCTACAGCTTGTTATGGAATTATACGTGCACTTCATTCTTGAGTATATAAAAGGAGACTATACAATCTTAAATCATACTCTTCTTTCTGTACATCTTCAGTCTGAAATCATCTTACTCTTGCGTTAAGTTTCTGTTTGTAAACATTATAAATCCTTAATTGAAGTAAATTTTTTGTTAAGTGAAATTTTGTGTAACTGTCTTGAAGAACTGTCTTTCTTGATTCCAGAAATTTGTGGATTGATCTCACTAGAATTGTTGGGGTAACTCATGTTGCCGATTTTGAATCAATCAAAGAGGCTAAAAAACAACGAGAGCATATTGTAAACGAGGATTTCTATTATTCTTTGAATAAAATACAGCATATATATCTTTACATAATATAAATTACAAATATCGCCTCTCTGTATTTATCTGTCTAGAATTATGTTTTTTTTTTTTTTTTTTTTTT